TTTTTTCTGGACACTTCACACTTGTTTACAAATGCATTGTTCCGGAGCTGAAGGCAGGCACACACTGCTTTTGCCAGATTGGGTTTGAGGCTTTGGGAAAGGAAGGCTATAGTTTGGTGCCTCGCCTTTGGGAGATAAGCCATGGCTATGAGGCAAACCCAAAGTCGGATCAGGGCTGCTCACTCAGCTATGACTCAGACTATTTGGGCCCTAATGCAGCAAAAATTATGCATGTATTTAATTTCAAGCATACAAGTAGTCCCACTGAGTTCAAAGTGACAACTCAAGGGCTTAAAATTTAAGCATCTACATAAACCTTTGCAAGACTGGGCTCAAATGGGGTGTAATACATAGTTATGCCATATCCTCACTCCTCACTGCAACTGCTGGTTGAAAAATGGAGTGAAAATGCCTCGAAAAAGTTGGAGCATAGGATTGCTTTCTCCCTTCTCCACAATTCCAGCAAATCCATGTTTTTTATTATATTCGTACAAATTAGGTTGGTAAAGGAGAACATAGAGGAAAGGAAATTGCACTTCTTCTGTCTCTTCCTGTTCCAATCCAGACAGCCTATTTATATAAAAGCCCATGTGATTTGTTCTTGATATAATGAGGTTATAGATAGAGAGCATTTTAGCAGTAAATACAATTTACCACAACTACTAAGGAAACAGCTGGTGATAAACCAGTATTTATGCCCCAGCTTTCTAGAGCTTTTCCTCTCTGTTTTCTTTTACTGGCTGGAGGACAGCCATACCTACAATATGAATCGGTATAGAAAAAACTTGGCAAAGTTGCAATTTATGAGTAAGGAAAATTATTCCTTCTAGAATAATTTCTTCACATTGCCTAATGAATCTAGATGCTGTCTATAGTTAACTACTGGGTAATATGTTTAGAAATTTTTTACACTACTTTAAAGAATAAAAAGAAGTACTTAGGTATTCATAGTCTGCAGTTAGTTTGTAGGTATTATGCTGCTACATATTAAAAGAATGTTGGGCCAGTTTCCTTTAATCGCAATAAAGCGACTCTGGTTTTAACACCAGTATAAATGAGATCTGGATCACTCTACCTAGGTTAATACCGTACAAAATTGAACCTGAAAACCTATGCTGGAAATGAACAAAACAGAACCTCATTTTTATTTTTCTGTTTCCTTTTTTCAAAGCCCTTAGTGTACATAGGACTTCACTTAGGTGTGTTCAAATCCCCTAGAACAGAGATTCTCAAACTGCGGTCCGGTCCGTGAGCTCCATTCAGGTGGTCCGCAGATAGTTCCCTCTAAGGTGCACGCCTGGGCAGCTGCACACAAGAAAATGAAGGGCCACCCACCTAATTAGTGGAGCTGCGCAGGCATGGCTCCCCAAGGCCACCACCTCACCTTACATGTGCGTCTTCTCCAGGGTCCAGGCACCTAATTAGTTTGGAATTTGGGACATGCAGGGCTGCAGCAGCCAGAGAAAGAGGCGACTTTCCTCAGCTCCAGGGCTGCGGCTGCCGGGGAGAGATGGGCCTTCTTCCTAGCCTCAGCTCTGTGGCTGCTGTGGCGGGGGAGAGAGGGAGAGACCCCCCTCCTTCCCAGCCTCAGCTCAGGGGCTGCCGCAGCAGGGAGAGATAGTACATCCATCGCATTAGAAAGGTCAGACTACTTACTGATATTAAAATATGAGTTGTGTGCTTTTATTTGTAGAACAAAAAATGTTAATTATTATAATGTTTTTTTATATAGCACTTTTATCCAATGCACTTTACAATAGTTAGCTAACGGTACAAACAACATTTGGAAAGATCATTAAGTGGTCCGCCGAGACACTCAGCAATTTTCAAGTGGTCCGCGGAAAAAAAAGTTTGAGAACCACTGCCCTAGAAACTATAACAGAATAAGGCCAGACATGCCCTGCCTTTTTTAGGGCTTATTTCACACATGATGAAAAAACAACACAATGGCATGGGAAAGATGCAGGAGCTCCTTTTTCTGTGACTTTTTTCAATAACAGACAGTAACAGCAGAAATGTGGCTAGAAAATTGGTGCAAACAATTCTTTGCCAGGGTTGTCTCTGTTGAATAATATATTCTAATATTATATGTATTATCCACACCATATTAGTATACATTAAGCACAAATAGCATTAAGCACAAATATTATAGCAGTTATATTGCCTAAATTGGCTATGTTTTTTTTATATAACCAACCCTGCTCACTTATGTTAAGTTTTGCGTATCCCAACACATAGTCAACCTGTGGAACTCATTGCCAGGGGATGTTGTGAAAACCAAAAGTACAGCTGGGTTCAAACGTGAATTAGGTAAGTTCACGGGGGATAGGTCAATCAATGGCTATTGGCCAAGATGGTCAGGGACGAAACCTCATTCTCTGGGTGTCCCTAAACCTCTGATTGACAGAAACTGGGAGTGGATGACAGGAGACAGATCACTCGATAACGGCCCTGTTCTGTTCATTCCTTCTGAAGCATCTGGCATTGGCCACTGTTGGGAGTTACAGTGGGTTACTGGGCTAGATAGACCATTGGTCTGACCCAGCATGGCCATTTTTATATTCTTCCCTTGCATTCACTGAAGTAAGTTTTGTTTTCAGCAAATAGGTAAACTGTCAAGATCAGGACAGATGAGTGCTTTACGATAGTAACAGAAAGGGAGTTGCTTTCACAAGCCTGTACAGGAATGTCCCAAAGGAAGAGGACACGACATCTGATTGTTCTACCCTAGTACAAACCTAGGAGGTGCCTCATGTCCTTCTGAAATACATGTGTTCAGAACAAAGAGATAAGCGGTACACCATTGTACCAGAAAAACAAGATAGAAAGCTGATCGGTTAAATCTAGTTTTATATGATGTACATAGTACTTTTTACTTGTGAACAGATAGGGTATAAAAAGATGGCTTTAGGGGTGTAACTTGGGGAGTTCACCTTTTGTGATGTAAATGTAACAATGCAGCATGAGAAAGCGTCCCAGAGACTGGTATCATAAAGAACCTGTTTCCTGTACTATATTATTATTATTGGCTTATAGCAGGGGTCGGCAACCTCTGGCACGCAGCTCGCCAGGGTAAGCACCCTGGCGGGCCGGGCCAGTTTGTTTACTGGGCCAGTTTGTTGATCACACTTTGGTTCGTTACGAAATATACTCAAGAGACCAAATAACCCATGTCAGTCAGGTTTATTGCTATAAGCCAGCGGTCGGCAACCTCTGTCACGCGGCTCACCAGGGTAAGTTTGTTTACCTGCCGCGTCTGCAGGTTCAGCTGATCGCGGCTCCCACTGGCCGCGGTTCGCCGTCCCATGCCAATGGGGGCTGCGGGAAGCGGCGCGGGCCGAGAGATGTGCTTCCCGCCGCCCCCATTGGCCTGGAGCAGCCGAACCTGCCGACGCGGCAGGTAAACAAACTTACCCTGGTGAGCCGCGTGACAGAGGTTGCCGACCGCTGGCTTATAGCAATAAACCTGACTGACATGGGTTATTTGGTCTCTTGAGTATATTTCGTAACGAACCAAAGTGTGATCAAGCAAATGACTATGCACTATCAAAACCTCTTCTGTTGTCAGTTTGAGGAGAAAGGAGGAGCAACCCATCAGTCCATCGATCAAAGATATGGATTAAGGCCCTCATTCTGCTATTGGCACCGCAAAGAGCCTCCTTGACTTCAGTTGGCAGAGGCCCACCTCATAGATCCAGACGCAGAATAAGGGCCCATGTGTTTTCAAATAAATCTAAAGCCTAAACAAAATCTTGTTGCTGTTTTCTTTTTAAATATAGCAAAACCCCAATTAATTTGGTTTTTATACACAGTAGTCACAGAACACGTGCTTGGCAAAGGCACCTGCTTCCATGTTGTTCAGATTACAAGTATGCATCAATAATAAAAGGGTGAAAATACTTGTAAAATTGTCCTTTGTAATCCCACATCATTGCCAGACTCTGAGAGAAATTATTCTCTTACAAACTAGCACATGTGAGAAATTTCAGACTAATTTAAAATTGGGCTTATTTTAGCTAGTCATGACCTTAACGGTGAAGAGAATAGCAGCTCTCCATGACGGACGTGACATAAAATAAACATATTCTTTAGAGGTGAATTGAAAGGCTTTTTAAATTCCATGACCTAAGATCATGGTTCTCGTTCAATATTTGATGACACACATCACTACTGCAAAAAACACACCAGGGAGTTGTGCTCTTTACCATGCTATTGATGATGTCATCTGCTGTGGCAGGCAAAGTGCAAGAACCCTGAAATCATGTCTCGGCATTCAAGTGGAGGAAGAGCTTATTTTAAATGCTTATGTTGTACAGTACATTTGCCATGAAGCCACATTTTCTAAATGTAAAGCTTGCTCCTGGAAACTACTTGTGCATGTGACTAATCCTTATCTATTTGAGTAGTCCCATTAACTTCAATTGGAGTTGAGAGCACTTGTCATCTCACAGGAGGCACTCAGCAAGATCATATGTTCTTATATGTCACTTGCATCTAATTCAGGTTGCCTTTTAAACGAACATTACATCAGCAGCACAGTTTGAGTTACAATGCTGAGAGATGCAGCTCTAAAATAATAATGGCTATTGCCGATGCATTGGAAAAACTTGAAATCTGGAACACTGCTAAAAAAGCTAAGTTGGTGAGCAACAGAGGCACATACATTCAGTCCTAGGGTAGGTCTACACTTACTTCCTGGTCCGGCGGTAAGCAATCGATCTTCTGGGATCGATTTATCGCATCTTGTCTAGACGCGATAGATCGATCCCGGATCGATCCCGGAAGTGCTCGCCGTCGACGCTGGTACTCCACCTCGGCGAGAGGAGTACGCGGCATCGACGGGGGAGCCTGCCTGCCGCGTCTGGACCCGCGGTAAGTTCGAACTAAGGTACTTTGATTTCAGCTACGTTATTAACGTAGCTGAAGTTGCGTACCTTAGTTCGAAGTGGGGGGTTAATGTGGACCAGGCCCTAGAGTTAAAAACTGATAAAAGCACTTACCTCAAAACTCACAGATCCATTGTGATCAGTGTCAAATGCATTAAAGAGAAAATGTGCATAGGTTGTAGAATCTAAAATTTAAAAACAGAAAGAGTGTTCCTTAGTAAGTGCATTTTAAAAAATTACCTGATACCCTAACACATATTTTCTTTAATTTTCTTCAATGAAAATTTTTAGCTAGGGCTAAATTTTAACTCCAACCTTAATCAAGTTTCTCTTTTTGCAGGAACAAAATTGTAATTAATTACACAAATAATTACATCCTCAAAAATAGCCTCAAAAATAGAGGCTACGTTCTAAAAATCTATCCTTATGTACTCTCATCATCATTACTACATGGAAAGGATCATTCACTGTCGTATGACTTTATTGTGACTATTATAATACGCTCAGTACACCTCTACCCCAATATAACGCGACCCGATATAACACTAATTCTGATATAACGCGGTAAAGCAGTGCTCCGGGGGGGGGGGCGCGGCTGTGCACTCCGGCGGATCAAAGCAAGTTCGATATAACGCGGTTTCACCTATAACGCGGTTAGATTTTTTTGGCTCCCGAGGACAGTGTTATATCGAGGTAGAGGTGTATTTACAAAATGGTCTGTATTTGCTCAGGGCTCTGCTCATCAGATAAGGGACCATAACTGGAGTTCTGTATCCTGAGCTGCAGAAGAAGATGTTCATTTGTTCACTTTTAAGGAAGAAACGAAGCACAACTGTCAACGCATTTGGTGGATTATTTTTATTTTGAAGGGAACCATGTTATCCAATTTGTAACTGAACTTGCCAGCAGGCTTCTACATGAATGAGCACTGGAGATGAACACTGATTGTCTGGTGTGATCAGTAAGTTAAAAATATGACTGAACATTCAAACAAGTGATCCATTTATTAAACAACTATTTTATTCTCCCTGAGTATAGTGAATACTGCTATATTGATGTACTTTGAAAAATAAATGTAGAACACAATAAAAATGTGCCAAACCTCTAAATCAAGGATCTCAAATCACCACAAGGGCCACATGAGGACTAGTACATTGGCCCGAGGGCTGCATCACTGACAACTTTTCATATAAAGGTACAAAAGCCTCCCGCCCTGGCCTCACCCCCACTCTACCCCTTCCATGAGGCCCCGCCGCTTCCCATCCTTCCCCGCCCCATTCCAACCCCTTCCCCAAAGTCCCCACACCAACTCGCCCCTTCCCTGCCCCTATTCCAACCCCTTCCCCAAATCCCCGCACTTGCCCCGCCTCTTCTCCGCCTCCTCCCCTGACCGCACGGCTCCCTCCCTCCCTCCTGGAAAGTGCAATGTGCTGCCAAACAGCTGTTTGGCAGTGGGAAGCACCTGGAGGTAGGCAGAGGAGCTGGGACACGGCGCGCTGGGGGGAGGAGGGGCGGCAGGTGAGGGGAGCTTGGCGGCCGCAGCAAATAACTCCGCAGGCCGCCACGTGTTTGAGACCCCTGCTCTAAATATTTACATATGGCTGTCTCCCATTAGGGACTGCATAAACTAAAAAGTGGAGATTGTTTTATTTGGAGGATTTTCTGTGGTATTTGTCATCATAGCACCTGAGCACAAACACTAAGGAATTTGTCCTGACAACTCCTTTGTAACATAGGGTAATATCTTCCTCTTTTTATCAATGCAGAACTGAGGCACAAAGAGCTAAGAAGTTTCATTTTAAGAAGTGAGAGCTCCTGCAGCAAAAAAAAACAACAACAAAAAACAGATGACATGTGACCCAGCTTATCAGAGTCCTAGTCTAATGCCTTAACCACAACACCAGCCTTCCTCTCTCTGAGCTCCCAAGAGTTCTCCTCTGGATTTCCGTTCCCAGCCTAACACACCCAAAACCTCTGCTAGAACACCATGCAAGTTAATACTGCCTGAGGTATTATTTACTTGCCCTACTTTCCTCTCCATACTTTATATATGTAATCCCTCCCTGCTTTATGTATTTGTATTGGCTTTTCTATAGTGCTCATTACCTTAATAACTAACTACCTCACAAACCTGAATTAATTTTAGTCTCAGAAAATTCTTGTGAGGCAAGGAAGTGTTATTATTTTATAGATGAGGAACTGAGGCAAGGAGAGATTCAAGCTAATTGCCCAAGGTCATGCAGGGAAAACCAAAGATGAACTTATCCTGGGTGTTCCTCTGGGAGAAGGGATGATCCTGCCTAAAGGTGATAAATTTCTGCGGCCTCATTATGGCAGGTGCAGCTCATTAACTCTAGCCTGGATGATCTAATACCTAGTCCTGCCTTATGTGCAGGATCCTGGATTAGAAGACCTTTTGAGGTCCCTTCCAGTCCTCCGATTCTATGAAAGTTACCCTCTACACTATTCTGTTACCCTCCTGTTTCATCACCTTCCCCATCATATCACATTAGAATTTGTACTCCATGTCACATCTTCTGGCGTTAGTGGCAGCACTCCTGAGTGGCATGCTTACAGAACAACACAAGGTCTTATCAGGAAGCAACCTTGTTACTGCCTGAGAAGTCCTTTTCTGTCTAGCAGGATCTACAGGGGACTAAACCATTGGCTCCTGTGTACACTATTTGCATTTCTGTTTTATCAAAATCATATTAACCTTGAAAAACTGGTCACACTGTGCAGGGCCAAAACAATCTTCTTGCATTGGATCTATCAATGGCATTTGCTCTAGGCCAGGGGTTCTCAAACTTCATTGCACCGCGACCCCCTTCTGGCAACAAAAATTACGTCACAACCCCAGGAAGTCTGAGCCTGCCTGAGCCCCACTACCCTGAGTGGGGGGTGGGAGCAAAGCCTGAGCCTCACCGCTCTGGGCAGGGGGGCCAAAGCTGAAGCACAAGGGCTTCAGCCCCAGGCAGGGGGCCTGCAACCTGAGCCCCGCCACCCTGGGTTGAAGCCCTTGGGCTTTGGCTTCAGCCCTGGGCGGTGAGGCTCGGGTTTCAGCCCTGGGCCACAGCAAGTCTAAGCCAGCCCTAGTGACTCCATTCAAAGGAGGTCATGACCCACTTTGGCATCCCGACCCACAGTTTCAGAACCACTGCTCTAGGCTGTATCCTAATGGAGGCAAAATTCCCATTTTCAACTTAAAAAAACCCAAACCAAAACTCATGACTTTTATCTGAATAAGGACTGCAAATAGTCTTAGTCCTTATTACAGTATGTTAATTTGGTATTATATACATTAATTATTGTAGGAACAAACCCTGCACTGTTTGAACATATGTTACTAATGCATTTTTATTGAATTCAAAAAGAAAATACTGTTGAGACATAGACGATCACAACACTGGATGGATGGCTAAGTACCAACCACCAGTCAAATCCCCATTTTAATTTTTTATTTCTTTATTATTTCTGGTATTGGAAGTTTGAAGACTCCAATATAGATCTGAAATTTTAATACACAAAATGTATTGAGAGAAGATTTGTTGTGTTGTGGAAGGTGGTATGGGAACTGTCTACAGTAATTTATATTTATTACAGAATTATAATTCAATGTACACTGATTATTTAATAATTTTTCTCACCATCATGGTAAAGTGTTCAATTTTTAATTCTCATTTGTATCATGATGTATGAATAAAAATAAACCATGTTTTCAGAATCTTTTCTTTATAGTGATCTGTTTGTATATTTAAAAATATTCTTTAGGTCACTGTTCCTGCAGTCTTTGTGCAGGTAAAACACCCATTGAGGATGACCGTCAGGGCCGGCTCAAGGCACCAGCCGACCAAGCACGTGCTTGGGGTGGTACCTTGGAAGGGGCGGCCAATCTTGGGGTGGCGGGGGGCACTCGGGGTTTTTTGTTTTTTTGGTTCGGTGGGGCGGTGCTCGAGGGTTTTTTGTTGGTTGGTTTTGGTTCAGCGGTGCGGCACGGGGGGGGGGGGGTGGTGGCTGGCACGGCGCTCGAGGTTTGGGCAGCCCGGCGTTCGGCAGGGGCCGGGGGTTTGGGCGGCCCGGCGTTCGGCGGGGGGCGGGGGTTTGGGCGGTCCGGCGCAGCCCGGCGCTCGGCGGAGGTTTGGGTAGCCCGGCACGGCGCTCGGCGGAGGTTTGGGTGGCCTGGCGCGGCGCTCAGGGGGGCGGGGGTTTCGGCGGCCAGGCACGGCGTTCGGGGGGGGGTTGGCAGCGCAGCGTGGCGCTGGGAGGGGCAGGGGTTTTGGTGGCGAGGCGCGGCGCTGGGGGGGGGGCGGGGGTTTCGGGGGCGGGGCGCTCGGGGGGGGGTATTAGGGGGGGGGGGGCTCTTTTTTTTTTGCCTGTGGCAGGAAAAAAGTTAGAGCCAGCCCTGATGACTGGAATTTTGCCTGAAAAAAGACTGCAGAGTGAGGTACTTTAGTGTTTTAAGTAGAGCTACTTAATGTGATCTCTTTCCCACTAAATCTTGAATATTATTCACTGCAGACAGAGCTTGACTTTTTAATGAAATACAGATTCTCTTCAATGCCCAGGATTCATAACTAGTAGGATACATTAACATTTTGGTAGGCTGCAGCAGGGACAGATATAAAGTCATAATTTGTTTGAGATTCATATCATGTACCTTAAAGCATCTTAAATATATGTTTTATTGAAGACAAACAGAAGTGGTAGCTACTATGCACCCACCAGCATCCCATTGAACGTCAAGGGTAAACAATTTAATAATGGCCCAGTGAGTCCACTGTTATCTGTGACCTGAAAGGTTAGGGATCAAGTCCTAAGTTATATTTTTGGTGGTATGTAAACACATCAGTTGAATTGAACATTGAATGCTGGGAGGCAGTGTGCTCCCTTCCTTCACAGATACTGCAATGGTTTTCCTATATGCTAGAGAATTTAATGCAGCTACCTTAATTGGGTGCTTTTATAATGTAAAAAGCTTTTCTGAAAGCTATTTTTACCTTATAAAACATGTTCATTTTACTATAGTTCTTCATCATCCATTTGTTATTTGGAACCCAAATCACTCTCTTGTCCCCTTTCTACCCGTCCTTCCCACTTCTCCTGCACTTTAATGAAATGACTTGCCTGGTAACATGTGAAACTAATGTCCTGAGGGCTGGTGGAAGTCGCTTGATTGCCGTACAGA